CTCTCTGTTTCCTCCCTGCCATTAGGTGACAGGCCTCCTCTATCTCTGCATTCCTACTATGATGTACTATGCCACAACAAGCCCAAAGCAACAGGTCAAAGGAATAATTATTGAAACCATAAGACAAAATACACCTCTCCTCTTATAACTTAAGTATCTCTGGTATTTTGTCACAGCAACAGAAAGCTAAAACATCACATATGGAGAATGGGAGTAAGACACCACAGTTTCTGGTAAGGTGGCTTTAGGTCTCTCCTTCCACTCTCAGAAAAGAGCTCAGCAGGTCTGAGAAATAGCCATCAGTCAAGGTGCCACAACAACTGAAAGACACTAATGAAATAGTGTGGGTCTGCTGGGGAAAGACTTTGAAGGCTTTGCCCAATGCTGTGTATAGGCCCCTTTTGAATCAATAGTCATTGCAAAGGGGTCTTCTGAATCCTAATCCTGCCTCTTAAAGTAGCTATTTCCCAGTACCTAGAAGAAACAACCTTCCCACACACAAAAAGCCATTTCCCCGGCCCAGACTGGTGGGGGCTTTGGCCAATAAACGTTTCCAGAGATAATCCCTGGGCCACAGACATTTCAAGCCACCACATCTGCCAGGTCACAATTGCCCCTTACAATGGAGGGGTCATGGGGAACTGGAATTTTAAACTACTTCAGTGAGTGAGAGATGCGTGAAAGGGCAGGTTTTAGTTGGGGTTTGAAGTACAATATGCCACTCATTCCAGTAACCCCTGTCCTTCACTAACATCTCCTGGCTCATCTCCAAATGCAGGCTTGAGGATCAGATGGTTTACTCTACAGTTGGAGGAAATAATTTGAAGCACACAAATTGAGTCTTCACAGAGAGAACAGCAGTCACACTCTCTGCCAGAGCCCCAGACTATGTGCTTAGTTAGACAATTGAGCCCAGGATGGGGATGGCTTATGTTCTCATCACGAAGCTTTGCCCACTCTGTTCACTCAGGTTCAGGATGGGTGACACAGCCTAGAACCTCCCCACTCCTTCTCCTAGAGCCCTGTTGCTCCTCTTGGGGCAGTGCTACTCACGGAGCACCCGTTACTACTTTGAAGTGGTCACGATAGGCATTGTCTCTGCCTTCAGGATTTCACACTCTTAAGGCAACTGTAATGCTCAGCATGCCGCCAGCCTGGAACTGCTGTACCACCTCGGACATTTCAGCTCACTATATATCCCCTCATAAACTATACTCAACATATTCCCTCTTCCACTCTTCTCACATGCCTTTCCTCTCACAGTCAGAGCCACACAGGCATCTTCTCAGTTCAGCAAGCACACCCTCTGCCATCCTGCCCTGGCACATAGTGTTCTCTCTGGAATATTCCTCCCAATCCATTCTCAGTGTAAAAATGCCTTCTCAGAGAGACCTTCCCTCCCACCACCTATAAAGCAGGTCTCTCTCCACTTCTATCTCTCAGCACCAGCTGTGTGGCACTTACTAAAATTTAAAAGCACGTATTTACTTGCTGGGTAACAGTGGTGGTTAGGGTGGTGTGTCAACTTGATTAGTTTTGAAATTCACCCAAAGAGACTCGTGGAACACACTTCAAGGTGTATCTGAGTCATGGTAACATGGCCTTGAGGCCTCTGTCTGGTCCTGTTGTCCCTTCTGCTGTGGCACTCTCTGCTTGCTCTACTTCCTGGTTGCCATGAACTAAGAAGTTTTGCCCCAATATACTCCCTGCCATGATATCTCTGCCACGAACCCAGCAAGTCATGGAGTTAAACTGTAAACAAATTAAATCTTCCTTTTTAAAATTGTGGGTGCCATGTACTGTATCTCAGTGATGAGAAAACTGACTAATACAGTTCCTTGTTTAATTTTGTCTCCCCTATAAGACTATGGCACCCAAATGAGCAGGAATGGTTTCTCTCTTGTTCACCATTCTCCCTCTCCCCGAGTTTTGCATGGTACATCAAGAAACTAGAAATGGATATAAGATTCTTCTCAGGAGTGACCCTGGAGTAGGGTGGGGTCAGGTCCTGGGATGCTTTCACAGTGACAATAAAGAGTCTGAGTTTAGTTCTAGTGGCAAGAGAAAAGTTTTCTGAGCACTGAAGCAGGGAGAAATGTAAGTGTTTACCTTCTCTTCCACTCTATGGAAACGGGCTGAAGTCGAAGGGAAGATAGGGAGACTTACTTGGGATCCACCTATTTAGGATTCAGCACACATCACCTGAGAAGCTGTTAGAAATGCAGAATCTGAGACCTACGCTGACCTGCCACATCTGAATCTGCACTGTAACAGGACCCCAGGCAACTGTCTGTTCACCTAGCATCTAGGTCAGCAGTGGCAAACCTATGGCCTGTGTGCCACAGCGGGCTCACAGAGCACTTTCTGTTGGCACTCAAGCCAAGGCATCCCAGCAGCTGCCAGATGTTTTTCTAAATCAAAATCTCAGTATTCTGGTTTAATTGCAGTTGCCACTTTGCAATAAAATAAGTAGGTTCTGGGCTGCAGTTTGGGGACTCATCTCTAAAAGGTTCAACATCCACAGACGTAGATCCTGATGAACAGTAATGATCACTCCATCTGCCTTTGGGAATGGTGGATAACAAGGACACATCAATGTCTCATAAATCCACTCTTCCAGATGTGCTTAGGGTGTCAGAAGCAAGTCCCAGTACTGCAAGCAGTCCCGAACCTTGATTCCATCAGAGGTCAAGGAGAAGAAGGAAGCAAAGAGAAGGTTGAGGTAGGATGGGATGGGACGGGGCTATCAGCCAGACTGTGATCTTGGGGAGAGGAGTTCTAACTTTTAAGGCAGGGCTGCAGATGGAGAGGTGAGGATTACCAACTCTGGTGATGAAAAGACCACCATTTTTTTAATCTAATGTCTTTTTTCAGCTTTTTAAAGCTTTATTAGTACATATTTGCCATACATAATAATCTCATTCACCATAGGGAATTTGTACCTGTATATAATGTGTCTTAATTTTTCTCCTTTCACTATTTCCCTCCCTTCCCTTCAGCCCTTCTTCCCCTCCCCATTTACAAAAGCTTTGTTTCCATTCTTTCCCTTCCATTCTGTTAATCCCTTGTTATGGTCTGTGTCTGCAAGTCCCCTCAAATTCTCATGCAGTCATGGGGCGGGCTTCTGGAGTTTATGATTGATTCATAGTCCAATGCTAGAATTGTAGATGAGAGTGCTACACCTGCCCTGGGGCAGATAATTCGCATACAATATAAGCCAGGGAAAGAGGCTCTCTGCAGCCACTCCTCCCTTTTGCTCTTGTTGCTTTTGCTGTCTTCTGCCACCATGAACTGTTGCTCTCTGCCATGTACCACTCTGCCTTGGAGCCAGTCGAGTATGGACTGAAACCTCCACAAACTGTGAGTAAATAAACCTTTCCTTCCTTAATGTTGGGTGTCAGGTATTTTGTCTCAGTAACAAGAGAAAACTAACCAAGACATGCCTTTTCCCTCCTTTCCCTTTGCCCTCCCCCATCCCTTGCTCCTCTTCTCATTTCAACATGTTTTTCCTACTTCCTGATATCTGTCCTCTGTTTCAGAACTTATTTACCCTTTGGGTTTCTCACTCAAGAGAAACAGTGAGATATTTAACCTTGTGTGTCCGATTCATTTCACTTAACATTGTGGTCTTGAGGTGTATCCATTTACCTAAAACTGACTCAAATGCATCCTTATTTACAGCAGAGTAGTGCTCCATTGTATATAAATGCCACATTTTCTTTATCCACTTATCTACTGGTGGGCCTATGGGCTGTTTCCAAGATTTCCCAACTTGGACCTGTGTACCCTAAAATCAGCAGCCCCAAATAACCTGAATAAGCCTCTTGGGAAAGCAGGAAGTGAGGATTCTTCCAGGTCTGTGGCATCTCCAGGGTGTGAGGATTGACAGAGGCGTCATTGAGAACAGAAGCTGTCAACCACCTTTGCAGTAGGGTAAGGGCAAAGAGAGCCTCCAGCAGAAAAAGCCCCCAAACCATATGGTAGTGTGACCAGAGGCAACCAGGGTGCTCTCTACTGCAACTGGCTGATCAGACTCCACTCTGCAAGTGGAACCTTTAACAGAAATAGCAGAAAACAGATAAAGGCTCTGGAGACAGGCAGCTACACATGAGCTCCTTCATGCCCAGCCCAGCGCCAGGTCTGCAGGGAGTGTTAATACTTGTAAGACAAGAAAAGGAATTAAGAAAACTTTATTCTATGACTCCCCTTTCTTACTCCATTATCCCAATGAAGGTGCCCATTCTTAAATGCAAACCAACAAATTTACCCCACGGATAATGTCTGAGTTCCAAGAACAAATTCTCACCTCTGTCCTCTACCCTCACGACCCCTGCCTCCTGCCTGTAAATCTTACTGTTGGATCCAGGTGTTTCTTCACCCCTTCAGTAAGAATATATAGACCGACCTCACCCTGGCTCCTTTCATATGAACCATTTTGTTTGTCTTGGTTTGATCTAAGCTAAAATGACCTGTCCCTACATTTACCTCTACCCCGTTCTACTGTGAGCCCTTGATCCCTCCTGAGAAAGAAGCAATGCTTTATCAGGCTTTTGTAGTACCAGATGTATCTTAGATGTTCACAAGTGCAGGTCAAACATAGGCTGACATCAAACTCCTTTTTACATCCGTTCACAAAGCAGCATCCTCAGCCTCCTTCCCTAGGCTGTTCCCCATGGCTGAACTATATGACCTGTATCTTTTGGGAGTTGTGCAACCTTACCTTCTCACAGCTCCTCTAGATTCACTTCAGGATAATATACTACTGCCAAAAGCAAGATTTCTTCCCTTTAGACATCAACTAGTCCAATTACATGGAACATAAACATTTTTACCTCTCTACTTGTCTTGTTCAGGGATTACCTGAGCCTGTGCATGTGGCAGCTTCTCAAGGGCAAGCCACAGAGCCAACCAAGTTGCCCATGCCCCTGTTTTAGCACAGAGACTCAGCAAGAAGACCTTGAATACTTTTGATGATAAAAAACACAACAGTAAAGACCAACCTTGGATGTGTAGGTGTGGCCATCCGAGCCGCAGACCATGGCTGACTGCGCCACAGGGCATGGCTTGCACTTGACCATATTTGAAGGTCCAACCCAATGCTTGTGGGCTACATTCCCCTTCTTTTGCCTAAGGACGAGAAAGAGAGTGGATAAATTAGTTGGCTCTGGTCCCCATTGTCTTTCTTCGAGCTTCCCAGACTACAAAGCCAAATAAATGAACAAAGAACTTCTCAGGCGGGAAAGTCCTGAGAGACCTTGACCAGCACTCTTATTTGTTCCAACTCAATGACCAGGGTGGAAGATTTTGTCTCAAAAGCCTAGCTTCTACCCAATCAACAGATGGACCAGAGAAACAGCAGTTAAAATGCTGAAAAGATTACTGATGTAAAAAAGACATTCACAACACATCTTCAAAAACAATGAGTGTGGCTTAATCATTCCCAAGACAAGTATGGCAGTCACAGTTACCTGTAGCCTTCAACTCTCCCAGGGCTAACGGGCATCCTTCAACATGGGTGACACAGAGGCCACTCTATATGGACTTTAGATAGAAATGCATCTCCAAGTACCACCAAAGACTTCACCACAACTGTAGAAAATAATCCTGGATATATTTTTAAACAATTTCAGTCCAGGTTCCAATTTGCCATCCAACAAAGGTTCTGAGCTGATGTCACCTCCAACTGTTAAAATAAACAAAATTCTATTTTTTTTACCCCAGCTTGAGTTTTTTCCTGTTCTAGCCTTTGTCATAATGATAAATGGCACTATTAGGATGGCTTATGTCCACAGAAGAAACCCCATCTCTGTATCATAAACCACTCAGATAAAGACCTACAGTTACTGCCACCTTTTCTCCTTTAGCTGGAGCTGCTATCTCAGAAAACTGCGGGGTGGGATGCCCATGGCCCAGGGGCTAACTTCTGTGTGGAGGAAAAGCGTCTCTAGACTGCCAATCAATCAGGCAATTGTAGTGCCCTTGGAATGTTCTGCACTGACAGTCCCACATGGTGGTTAGCATTTTGGGCTCACAAATTAGAAAACACAAGTTCAGACTGAGCTCTCCCACTTGCTTATGGTGTGACCTTGGCAAAATATTTAAATCCATAAATCTCAGTTTCCTCATATGTAAGTATATATTAGAAAGATCAAATGAGCTTATAATCACATCTATAAAGATTCAGTATAGAGATGAAAAACAGGAAGCAATAGTGATAGTAGCTATTACAATTGTTGTTTGTCCCAATACATGAAGGTACAAAGACTAAAGTTATCATTACTATAGAAACGTAATCATTCCTCAGGTTTGGAAGGGCATTTATTTTCCCAAAAGAATCCATGGAGCCAGAAGGGGACATTTTTTCTACTAGACAAGGAATGATTCTCTAGTCCCTCATGAGTTCAGTTCAGTGTCTGAGGTAATCTACACTTTTCCAAACTAAGGGAACTGAGCAAGAAGGAAAGACAAATAAAGCAAAGAGCACCCATTCATTTGGTTCTTAGCCTACTTCAAATACACCCTAGCAATTTGAAGGAGGTGCTCAGAGATGAAAGGTATTTGGAGAACTACATCTGAAGGGACATATAAGAGGATCAGCAGGTGCCCACAGCACAGCCCCTAAGGCCGTTCAAGATCCAGGCTGGAGAGGCCCTTGCACTGGGCCCATCTGACCAAAAAGCCAGAGAAGAAAGTCCTTTTAGGGTCCTTTGAGGTCACTTAGGCCAACTTGCTTGTTTTACTTAGGGCGGAACTGAAGCTCAAAGAGAAGAGCCCTGGCTGAAGCAATGGCTCCCACTCAGGCCTTGGTGGCATTCACAGTTGCAGGGAGTGTCCAACCCAGAACACTAGCTTAAAAATACTTTGAGGACTCCTCTATGTATGCTCTCCATGTGCCCCTGCTTCAGCAGCAGCCACCCACCTTGCCTCCTGGTCTAGAATTTTTTAAAGTCTACCATTTGCATTTATAAATAACTTGGACTTGAGGTCTCCTACTGTCCTTCACTGTACACACTTTCAGAGTGTGTGTGGGCTGCCTGCAGTGAACGGTAGGCGGGACTCCATGAGACAGGAGCAGGCTGTCAGTGTGGAGTTGATCTGAGAACACACGATTCCTTCAGCAGAACACCACACATTTATCATCATTCACACAGCAGATTGTCTGACGCTGATAAGGAAACAGCAAATGCAGGAAGAAGCTCCAGCATCTGGCAGTCACTCTCCTGGGTCAGTCCCAATGCAGCTGAAGCAAATCTTGTCATAACTTTCCAGAAAGGGGCTCTCAAGTCCAAAGAGTGGCAGCTTTGCTGGAGCAACCATAGCCATGAACAATGATGCTCCAGAGGAAAACAGCTTATGGGAGCCCCGCTCAGCAGGGGAGAGCAAAGTGATTGCTCAACCAGAAGCTTTAAGGGAGAGATGGAACACACTATCAGTCACCGGTTAATGGCAAGTCATCTCTATTGTGGACCTGAACTACAACATTAAATTAAATTCATTAATGGGAATCATGGAAGTGAGGCTACTGGTGCCTCCTAGATGCTCAGGATATCCCTTCTGGGTCAGTGTATCTCTACTTTCTGACTGCTAAAGTCATTACTTGGCCATTAATCACAAGATCACAGAATATCACAACCAGAGAACACCTTAAAACTAATCTAGCCTAGCAACTTTATTCTACAAGTGAGTAATTAGAGACATACAGGAAAGTAACCTATGGTATCACATAGACATATGGCCATTATATATATTTGTCCTGGAATCCACTGTACTGATCCAGAATCATTTTAATCTCTTATTTTGGGATCCATACTTTCATTTTCAGGATTTAATTTTATAAACACAGGTCCTTTGAAACAGTGCCCCTCCATTTCTCTACATGCAGAGAAGCAAGCTCAGCATACCAATTGTCAGGTGGTCACACATCACGTCTAGGTATAACTACCTTTGATCTTTCCTGGAATGCCTTGAGGGTTTTTGGTACAGTGGCTCAGTCATTCCAAGTTTCCCGATTCTAAAGAAAGAAGTATACCTGACAGATCTGGCAAATCTAGACATATTTTCCTCTACTAGGTAGGACCTCAGTGTAGGTGGCCTCCCAAGCCTGTAGTCTCTGTCCAGAGGCCAAGTGAATAAAGTTATGTTTGAGTATATGTAGTCCCAAGAGACAACTTTCCTGGATATTGTGCATGTATTTCAATAACCATAACTCAGTATGAATCATAAAAAATAATGAACCCAGGGAAGGCAACGAACGAAGATTTCTGACTCAAACATTTCAATGCTTCAGTCCGTGAAGAGTGAAATCCAGTGAAGATGTTTTGATGGCGTTATTACATCACAGACATTCATCCTCTGGGATGACTCCACAGTTTGGTCTGGAAGCAGGTCCTGTCAGCCTTCCCCTTGGCCACTAAACCGTGACTTTATCTCAGCCTGCTTGGTCCCAAGGGGGCAGCTTCATTTCCCACAGTTTACCAACAAACTCTCCATGTGGAGAGAAAACAGACAGCCAGGACATTCCCAGCACTTTCCTATTCCAATTTGCTAACCTTACACTCAATCTTTTTTAAAGTCCACCAAAATTCCTAGCATTTTTGTTTTTGAAAAAGGAAGATGATTGTTAAGTACAGATCTGACCATGTGACTTGCATGGTTAAAACCTCCATCTTCACCTGACCTTCCAGAGTAAGTCTAAGCTCTGGGTTTTAGGGTTTAGGCTGTCCTACTTGAGCTTTCGCAGGCTCACTGTCTACTCTGCCCACCTCCCTGGCACTTGTACACAAGTACACACTTGCACATGCGCATTGAACACAACTACTACCAATTTTTCTTCCAGCCACCCTCAACTGTGCTCCAGAGTATAGAAGGTCCTTTGTGCCTCTCTGCTGCCATGTGGCTTTTTCCTCCTCCTGACACATGTCCATTTTCACCTAAATCTCTCCTATCTATCCTCCCCCAGCAAGACCAGCTCAAACAACAGCTCCAGGCAACCACCTGTGCCGCCCCACAGGCAGTTAGGCAGCACTTCCTCTCCATCGCTGCCCAATACTCACTTCTAGTTGGGGCAGATTCTTCAATTGATCTCCAAGCACGCGCCTTGATTCCACTCAGCTGAATATTAAAAGGTGACAATTATTCCAACAGATCATGGGGCTCACCTCAGCTGAAAGCCTGGGTGCCCATCTTGGGCATTTCTCTATTCCTGCCTCACCACCTCCCCCATCACAGTCTTACTGATTCTGTCTCCAGCCACCCACATCTGGGGCTTATATGTCTCTTCCATGTGCCATGCAAATGTCTAGAGGACTTAGCAACACCTTCTGCCTGCATAGTAAATATCTATTCCTTGTTCAGTCTTCAAATCCATTGCCTTCTGTGAAGCCCTTCCTGACCTATGACCTTCAGCCTAGGCAATGTCAACTCTGATAATGTCTGTTCCAGTATCATACTTGCTCCAACTCAATGGTGAGAAACACTGCAGTGTCTCTATCATCCTCAATCTCCTGGGTGCTCCCAAAGGGCAGTGACTAGGTCTGAATCATTTCTGTGTTCCTTGTGCCTAGAAGTATGTCAGTGTTTCCTGCTTTTCTTTTTGACTGGGTCTGCTGCTCCTTACACATTCTCCCATCATCAACCCACTCCTTTCTGTTACCTGCCTCTCAAGTGACATCCAGGGCATCTTGTATGATATCAGTTCCAACCCAGCAACTCACCTGGCCACTTTGGAGTGGGGCCATGGTCAGGACTCATTATAAAAGGGTGGTAGGCCAGAGTAATTTTTCAGTAATAAATACCCATGCAAGAATAGATTTCTGGACACAATCCCACCAATGACACTCAACAATTAAATTTATTTTAATAATTATTTTAAGAATAAGAGGGGGAGTAGGAATGGATGGCTGCTAAAAACACACATATTGGAACCGCTGACTCTTTCAGTCATTGAAGAAGGGCCATTTATTTTATTCTGTACAGTGTGCATTCTGCCACGCTTATTTGATTTCAGATAGAACTGCTTTACTCTGCACATGAACAGCTGGTAAAGGAGTAAAACAACTCCAGATAGTGAATCACAGCAGTGGTGCAACACTTGGTCTATGCCACTATTGTAGGTTTGGCCCGACACT